AAGAACCGTGCGCATTATTTGGAAGAAAAACCACTTCATAGCGTCGAAGGTTTGCTAAGGCGTTCTGCGGAGCAGGACTGTGCCATCGTTGCACTGTGCCATCGTTGTGTGTGCCTATATATACAGATCTGCTGTATAGATCTCAAGGGAGATCAGCCGCGTTTCTGAAGGGAATTCAGGCCTGAAGGGAGTTCGAGGCACGCGGTGTGGAGCTGCTGTTGGAAGAGACACGGAGTTCAAGTTGTGTACAAGAACGGCATATTACATAAAGAGGGAGTCTTTAGTGTTTTTAATAAGTCCTATTAATGTACACTGTAAATCTGAACTAGTGAAATCGTGTTTGCAGGTCCACGTGGATGTAGGGCACATTTGTGTCTGAACCACATTAAATTCTTGTGTTTGTTTACTCGCTTTCAGTAGTTTATAACTGTGTTAACACAAGAATTGTAGTTGTAACTGCATACTGTTCCCACAACAACTATTACAACTTCGGTTAACAGATTTTCATAGGCATTTAAAATCAACAATAATGTTGTTTAATTGTAATCATGAAATGAGTTATAGATATTGAATTATGAAACTATGGGGTTCTAGGTAACCAATTTTTTTAATCCTTCACTTGATTCCATTATAACTCATTGTATTATAATCCCTAAAAATCATGAGTATCTTATTTTACATTGGTTTTAAGATCAAAAGGAATTTCTCAAAAAGTCCCCCATATGTTTAAATGCTATAGGCACTCGTAGAATAACGATCTTGGTTTGATACGTCAGCTGCTAAATCACATTTATGCCTAGCGATTGAAGCAAGAGAGTATGTCAAACAATCCAAGTTCTAATCTCATCTTCAACGATAGTTATGTCGAATTTGTCATACATAGTTAGCCTAGTATGGTTTACGTTTCTCGACAGTTTGTAACCTATTACACGAGAGTGTAGGTTTACCCACTGCACCTAAATGGTTAGCTGCGCATTCCTTCATTACATAAAAACATTTAATAATGAAATTACTAAGGTGGTGTTTGAAAAAACTTATAGAAATATAGATTGAGTTTTTTTTTTTTTTTTTTTTTTTTTTTTTTTTTTTTTTGCGTATAATCTGTTTTAGTTGTTTGCAAAATAAACTTTTGCTTTTGTTTCTCTTAAAATAAGCTGCTATAAGCTGTAATTTAAAAAACAATCATGTACATATTTTTTCTATTTTAGTTGATTTCCAACTAATTTGCGAACACGCCCAACTTTTAGAAATAAGCACTTAAATGCAACATAAATCACAATCACGAATTTCTGCTTTTACATAAGCTTTTGCAAACACCAGCTAAGTAAGAGATATTTCGAGATCTAACCAAATAGATTATTAGGGTCAATTAACCATTTCTTATTGACTAAAAGAAAAAAAACGTGCAGGGGGCATTTTAGTTATTAAATGAAGGTTGATAAATTCCACCAAGTTTCTAACTTCCATTAAAACAGAGAATTCATATATATATATATATATATATATATATATATATATATATATATATATATATATATATATATATATATATATATAACGGTATATAACAGATCGACAGCTAATGGAAACACACAGCATCCAGAATCTTCTAAACTGAACCAACAAGAAAAATACGAAGTTCGAAAAATTTCGGAGAAAAACAAACAAACAAACATGGCGGCAGATTCATCAAACGGGCCATCGAGTTTTTGGACTCAGGCAAATGCTTTGGTGAGGAAGAATCTCATTTTTCAGGTGTGTTTGGTTCTTTCTGCCTCAACTTCTGGAATCTTTTCTTATTTTGTTTGATGAAATGATGGCCACTCCGAGGTAAGATCAAATTACGAAAACACTTCTCTTGTTTGGGTAATTACAGTCATCCCCTCCTTTTAAATATTTGCAATAAAATTTACGTAATTCTGTTATTTACCGTATCAAATCGTATATTTAGTTTGGTAAATGGTATAAAATGTAGCTTACCGAAATTTCAGTTCGATTTCTTTACCGAATTAACATCCTTAAATTTACCCTGAAGGAGTTTTTTCATACAATAATACATAGTTGAGATGAATGACTGTAATTACCCAAACAGGAGGGAGGTTTTCGTAATTTAACTTTAACTGAGGGGGTGGTCGTAATTTGCCCATGCTTGGTTTAAGTTCTAATTTTCTTCAAACAACACTTATTTTTTTTCTTTCTTTCTTTTTTCTCCAAACTTAATGCTTCTATTAGTACTTCCGGGCCATGTCTCGTTTGGTTAGAGAGATTAGCTATATTATTAACTAAATAATTGTACTTTGTTTGATGTTTGATATCTCTAATAATTTACTGGTTGATCCACAAATATTATATTATCATGATTTATCTTGTCTTGTCATACTGTTAAATGAATTTTTTTGTTGGATATCTTATGGTCGGACAAAATAATTGAGTTGTCTTTAGATTATTTAATCTTATTTTTACTAATCTTATCTTAACAACTAAACGAGGCATGTTTTAGTTTTCTTTACCTCACATCTCATGTATTTATTATATGTAGTGGGCGTGTAGTTGGCCACTTGGCCTGTCTTTTCTGATCGAAGAACTATGAATTACTAGAAACAAATCATTTTCGGCATACCTAGATCTTCTATGTTTCTTTTTTAGATGAATAGATCTTCTATGTTATGTTTATGCAAATGGCACTAAGTATAAATTTTGGTGTACAAATTTTTATAGCGGGAATATTGTTCGAATGTCGAACCACTAGCAAAGCATGGATTTTGGGTCCCGGGGCTGAATGCATTAAACAAATCTTATATATAAAAGAAAAAAACGCTAGGCAACCCTAAGAAACCCTGATGACATTTTTTTAATTATTTATTTTTAATATTTTTTTGTACTAATTTTATAACTATATTTTTCAACAATTATCAAAATTGAAACTGCACCGTGAAGAATCCTTACAACTCCGATCTCCTATTTTTCAACAATTACATTCTTAAATTTTACTATGTTAGTGTATTATATTTTTTTAATTATGTATTAAATTTATCATTTTTTCACTTTTAAACTACGATCCCGTGCATTGCACGGGGAAATATCACTAGTATAAAATAATAGGGATTTGAAAAATGTTAGGGTGACTTTTTCCTTTCTAAATTTTGTTATAGTTGCACTTCTCTAGGCTGAAATCGCATGACTTTCCCCCTTCAAAATTTTGTTATAATTACACTTTGCCTCAAAATGGGACTTTCCAGCATACTTTTCAGTGGTTTTTTCATATCTCCGTCAACTTGAATTTCACCAATCCCACCCAAATATAATAGATGTCATTGGTAGCGGCACAATTCCGGCCAAATTCTCCTCCCTAAACCTCTCTATCAAAGCAGCGACTCAACTCTGTCGGCCCCACCATCGAAATTCGCGCCTCATTCCGTCCACAGCGCACTAGTGGTTGAGGTGCAAACAATGTCCCACATCGGTTTAATATGGGAAAGATCACTCCTTTATAAGGAGGGGATAGCAACTCCATTGGTATGAGGCCTTTTGGGGAAACCCAAGAGCAAAACCAGTTGGGTTCGACCCAATTTGGACAATATCATACCAATGTGGAGTTTGTGATATCCCGTCGGGGCTCAACAGTGGTATCAGAGCCATGGCCCAGTCTTAACCATGTGGTGGAAATTGCCGGAATCTGTGTGAAATTTCCGGTGGTCCTCGATGCCGAACAAAAATGGTGAGCTCCCGGTGCGCAAATGGCAGGCGGCTCGACGAGCTCCATGTATGGGAGGCTCGGTATTCCTTTGTTCGAGGCTCGGTGCGCTCTGAAACAAAGATGGTGTGAGTAGGGGAGGCTCGGTGGTCCTTTGTGGTCCGACCTATGTGGTCCTTTTATAAGTAATTTACAAGAAAAAAAGAAAGACAAGTGAAACTTTTTTGTTATTAAATTTTAAATATATTTATTACCTTAATATTTAAAATTTAAATACAAATAGAAAAGCTCTCCAACACGACAAAAAAATGAACGCGCCCTCGTGAAAATGAAGTCGAGCTTTTGTATTAATGTTCACGCATAAATATGAAATTAAGTTCTAATGTGGAAAGCACGGCCGCCGCTCTCTAAACACTTTTCCCTGTCATCTCGCCGTCGTCAATCAATACCCATAGGAGATATTAATATTAAATGATACATTTCACTAATAGCTTAAGCTTTTGGTTGAAGTGGTCATTCAATATGGTATCAGAGCCAGACCATGAAAGGTTTTGAGTTCGAACAACTATTTCGGAATTTCTTTATTTCGAGCACTAAATCAAGTATTCAATTTTCTAAAGCTTTGTTTGGGGAATTTCAGATTTTTTTCTTTGGGCAAATTACCAAAACCCCCCTAAGGTAAGTCTGAATAACGGAAATTCCCCCCACGTTCTCGTAATTACGAAAACCCCCCTGAGGTATGCAGACATCTTACAAATCGCTCTAACGGTGTTAAACTCGATAAAATCTTTTTTATTCTCCCGAATATTCCTCCGATAATACCAATTTTGCCCTTTTACACGAAATTACCCTTAGGGGGGTAATTGTAAGCATTTTATTTACCCTTAGGGGGGTAATTCTGAGTCATAACTCGTTTTCCGGCCAACTTCCCGCCGGTGTTTTCAACCTCACTAACCTGGAATCGTTGGACATCAGTAGGAACAATTTCTCCGGGGGTTTTCCGAGTGGGATTCCGCGGCTCCAGAGTTTGGTCGTTCTCGACGCGTTCAGCAACAGCTTCGCTGGAAACCTACCGGCCGACGTCTCTCAGGTGGAGTCTCTCAAAGTGCTGAATTTCGCCGGAAGCTACTTCAGCGGTCCAATCCTGCCGGAGTACGGCTCGTTCAAATCGCTCGAGTTCATCCACCTCGCCGGAAATTTCCTCGGCGGTGCAATACCGCCGGAGCTGGGGAATCTGAGATTTCTCTCACACATGGAGATCGGCTACAACTCCTACGAGGGCGAAATCCCTTGGTAATTCGGTAATATGAGCGACCTTCAGTACCTCGATATCGCCGACGCAAATATCTCCAGCCAAATCCCTAAACAACTCAGCAACCTCACGAAACTCGAATCGCTCTTCCTCTTCAAGAACCAACTCACCGGAAAACTCCCGGCGGAGCTCAGCAAAATCTCCACCCTCAAAAGCTTAGATTTCTCACTATATTTAACGGGCGTAAATTTTTGGGCATTGATGTCAGATCAAAGTCCATAACACTAATAATTTCTTTTTCAGCTTTTTTCTTTTATTTTCACATATTTAACAGAAGGATATAATAGACATTTCACGTTTTCGGTTAAAAAAATTCGGTCAACCGTTAGTCAAGGGGGGTTTTCGTAATTACGAGAACGTGGGGGGATTTTCGTTATTTAGGCTTACCTCAGGGGGGTTTTGGTAATTTGCCCTTTTTCTTTTCTTTTCAATTTCAGCCTAAATTCAAAGTTTTGGCAAAACACGGATATGATAAACGTAAGGGAAAATTATGAGAAACCCCCTAAGATAAGGTCTAACTACAAAAATCCCCTTTCTATTTGTGTAATTATAAAAAAAAAAAAAAAAAAACCCTGAAGTATGTTGCTGCTTTACACAGTTCCCTACGGTGTTATGCAAACATGAGGGAGAACTTCGTAAATAGGCCTTACCTCTTGGGGCTTTTCGTAATTTGCCCTTAACTTAATTCAATTGGCTTTAGACTCATCACTTTTTGGGCAAATTACAACCCATGAGTTATGGTCAAATTATGAAAAATTCCCTTCTGTTTGGGTAATTACAACCACCCCTCAACTATGTATTAACTTACGAAAAAACCCCTCTAGAGATAAATTTATAAGGGATGTTAAATCGGTAAACCGAACCAAGATTTCGGTACGCCAACATTTCATACCGTTTACCGAACTGAATATACGATTTGATTCTGTAAATAACCGAATTACATAAATTTTATGTAAAAATATTTAAAAGGAGGAGGTGACTGTAATTACTCAAACAAGAAGAGTTTTTTTTTATAAATTGGCCATACCTCAAGGGTTGCCCATAATTTTACGGCTTTACGCCCATACTATTTTTAGTTTTTTGTCTTCAAATCTAAATAAGGTTGAATTGTAACTTCCATTTTATCTTTTGTTGAAATTCATTAAACTGAATTTAAGTGCTGAATATAGTAAAGCAACCTTAGTGCAGAATACAGATTGGTAGCGCAAGAGCGCTGTGTTTTGGAGCCTTAGGCGTTGAACAACATCATATAATTTTCGAAGAGTTTTCTTTATATCTGTTGACTTATAATTCTTGATTTGTGTGCATCTATCTGAATCGACACTTAAAAAGAAACGTCACTTCAAAAGAAAATGAGGGTAGTATTTCAAAATATTTAGTAGAGAAGCGGTCGTCTTTTGGGGAAATGGAACCGCGAAAGAGTGAAGTCTTTTGCAATATAAGTTTCACTGAGTTAGACACGGCCACGGGTCGGTTCGGGCCGGTTCCGGGCCGGTTCGGACCGGTTTACGGTTCACATTTTCCGGAACCGGAACCGGCCTGTGGCGTGCACGGTTCACCGGGCCGGGTCGGCCCGCCGGTTCGGGCCGGTTCACGGGCCTATCCGGGCTGGTTCCGGGTCGGCCCGGAAATTTTGAATTTTTTTTTTTTGTTTTTTTTTTTTTGAAATATTTAATGAATAAGTAAATTAAAAGAAATACTTTTAAATAGATAAAGGAAAAGGAAATAAATGAAAAGTCAATTTAGAAGCACAAGTTTAAAATATTTGATGAATAAATAAATTATAGGAAAAATTGGGGTGTGAGGGTATTTATAGGAAAAATTGGGGGGGTTTGGGGGCAAAAAAAATTCAAAAAAAAGTAAATAACAGCCGGTTCACCCGGGCCGGTTCGGGCCGGTTCACTAGCCGTTATTTGCTTTTTTTTTTTTGAATATTTTTGAATATATATATATATATATTTTTTTTAAATACGGGTGAACCGCCGGGCCGGCCCGGCGGTTCACGGTTCACCAAATCTAAGAACCGGGCCCGTCCCGGGTAGGACGGGCCGGTTCACGGTTCCGGGCCGGTTCACACGGTCAACGGGCCGGTTTGGGCCGGTTCCGGGCCCAAAACCGGCCCGTGGCCGTGTCTACACTGAGTGTTTATATAAGGGTAAATAGCACTTAAGCCCCATGTGATTACAAACTTTTGCAGATGACTCCATGTGCTCGTAATATCATCACATAACTTCCTTGTGGTTTATTGGGGTAACTTCCGTTAGTTTTTCCGTTAAACTTAACTGCGTGTATTAAACTTCAAGGGGGTCTTATGCAAAAAATGAAAGGGAAAATGAAAGCACAAGGGGGTCATCTGCAAAAAAAAATTACTTTGACGTTTGATACTGGCAATTAAGTTTGACGGAAAAACTAACGGAAACTACACCATCAATCACGAGGGGGTTATACGCTGATATTAAAAGCATAAGGCGGTTATCTGCAAAAGCTGGTAACCACATAGCGCAGTCTGTTAAGTGCTACTTACCCTCTATATAATAAGCCTACGTGGTTGCTATTAATGTCATCAGTTCGATTTTAGTATATGAGGAATTTGTTTTTTTCTAAAATGGTTCAACGATTTCCTTTTCGATGCAGAAACGTAATATCAAGACGAATGTTCGACTCATTTTGTTCCCACTTTTCTTGTGTTTGTTACTACTTCTCATCCAAAAATGGGTGAACTATGAAATAGATAAGCCCTCAAGAAGGTGTGGATGCATTTGTGTCGATACCGGGAAGGGCCAATGTGAAACAAGGTGTGGGATCGAATACTCGACTCTGAAACAAGGCTTCTTTTGTTCCATTCCTCATCCTACAGAATGGCCTCTGTTATTACAAGTGCCAGCTCAGCAATTTCGTGCTGTAAGAACGTCCGATCATCTTGTATCATCGTACGGAGACCTACCTGGAGATTCATGCAAGAAAACGGGTTCCTGTCCCGTAACAATGCTTATCACAGGAAATAACCAAACATTTGGTCAATGTATGTCCTCTTTAGTTATGTTAAGGTATTGGGTAAATTACGATGCCCCTTGAGGTAAACTACGAAAAATAACTTGGGTAGTTATAACCGCACCCCTCAATTATGAATTTTCTTACACATCCACCCTTATGGTTTCAAATTCAACAGGAGCTTTCAAGTTCCGTGGAATATTCTCTAGTTTGTACTCGTTTTGTGCAAAAAGACAGTTTCTAATGCACCACAATCTGATATTTACAAGCCAAGAGCCACATCTTACGATCATCTCGTTTCAAAAGGTGGAGCTGGAATGGGGTAAAACGGGTACAAACTGGAAAATATTCCACATAACCTAAAAGATTCCACTAAATTTGACACCATAAGGGTGGACGTGTAAGAAGATTCATAGTTGATGCAGGTGGTTGTAATTACCCAAACAATAGGGTTTTTTTTCCTTCGTAATTTGACCGTATCTCAGAAGGTGGCCGTAATTTACCGTAAGGTATTTAATATCTCCTGTTTATTTAGAGCATGAGGTTGCGCTTAACGCTTCTCATTCGAATTTGTAGCTGTGGCTGGAAACATGTTCTCAAAACCATTCAACAACATAAATTCCTCAGATAGTTTGTACAACTTAGCAGATAATGCCTTGGTTAGTAGTATTTCCTTTTTTTTTTTTTTTTTTTTATATATTTTCTTTTTCCTATAGTAATTTGTTTTATGGTAATGATAACTTATGGTATATGTATGTATGGTATTTCTTGTTATTCAGGGTTCGGAAACCGAGACTCGGTTCGATAACGTTCTCGATGCCGCATTTCTTTTAAATGCTCCCATCGATTTTCTTCAGCCTCAGTGTCCATCAAATTTTCGGTTTTCTCTTGCTTTCCGATTAGGTTCCGATACATTAGAGAAGGGTAGATCTTATGGAATTATTTTTCTTTCCATAATGTAATTAACTTTGCATACCGGTGCACGAAATAAGTCGCTCAACTTGTTCTTAGAGCTTACGTATAAAATGCAGATGTTCGTTGCTCTCAAGTCGTACAATTGTGGCGCAATAGTTCTTCCGAGATTAACGATGTGCTATACAGGGGTTACCGTAAGGGGAACTCTGAGAGAAAGATTAACGAGATTTTAGCAGGTTCGGGACTACGGAATCGTTGTGCACAACTGTCACCAACTTAATGTGAACGACGTAACTAATTGTCGATCTCCTTCGTTTTCGCAGCTTATGATTTTGTGAATTCAAACGATAATCTGTTCAACGTTACCGTATGGTACAATTCGACCTATAAGAATGACAAAGGCAGCCAGCCTATTTCCTTGACACGGCTGCCTCGTTCAATAAATTTGGTATCGTGATTTTGTCACTTTATGGTTCAACTACTAATTCGAACTTTCCGAAGGAGATACATTTTCACTATATATAGCCTTCGTATTTTTAACTCTAAAATAATTCATGCATCATATATTCATAACCTACTCTGTAGTTAATTCAGTTAATTTGCATACCAGGTTTCAAATGCCTATCTCCAACTTCTGCTTGGACCAACTGCGAGAATGGTTTTCGAGTTTGTGAAAGAAATGCCAAAGCCCGAAACGAAACTCAGGCTGGATTTCTCTTCTCTCCTCGGGCCACTCTTCTATACATGGGTTATTGTACAGCTCTTTCCTGTAAGTTCAATTAGTAGTTTTCCCTGGTTTTGTCTACGACTATTTGAAATGTTACATCAGATCATAAAGTTTGCTATTTTGGTTTGTGGTTTTTATTCTTGGGTAAATTACACCTACACCCACGAGGTATACTAAAGTAATTTTTAGATCCTTGTGTTATTGGCAATTACAGCAATATCCCCCTGAAACAATTACTGGAGCCAAGATTTCATGTCCTAGGGACCAATATGCATTATATTTATTTCTCGCGAGACAGTTAGTGCTACCATAGACGAAAATTTATAAATCTGTTTGGAAAGTGAGGGAAAAATCTGGGAATTGTATTGAGAATTTCGAAAATGAGTTTACAAATCTGATGTTAGCTGCTGCTAATTCAGTTATCCATAGCTAAGTGATCTGCCACATGTCAGTTGATCATTGGTTCGAATATTAAAATAACAAAACAGAATACAACTGAAAAAGCGTGTAATGGAAGACGCGCCTTTATAAGTCATGAGCTGCGCCTTCAAGCGAAACGCCGTCGTTTGATGGCTTAACTGCCAGCTGAGCCGACAGTTAGGGCTCGTTACAAAATCTTATATAAAACAATAAGGATTTAAGAAATGTTAGGAGAGGCATGTCAACCCTGAAATGTTAGGACAGTTAGAACCATAACGGAATTATAACTTATCCAGGGATTTCTAACAATGTTCCAGGGGTGATTGTTATTACCAATACTACAGTCTACAGGGGTGTAGGTGTAATTTACTATTCCTTCGTTGCAGGTTACACTAACATATTTGGTCTACGAGAAAGAGCACAGACTAAGAATTATGATGAAAATGCACGGGCTCGGAGACGGACCGTATTGGATGATATCTTACGCTTATTTTCTAGCAATATCTTCAGTCTACATGCTATGCTTTGTCATATTTGGCTCGGCCATCGGTAAAACAAATTATATATTAAATCGTTTTCGGGTTCCTTAGAAGTTGCTTAATCAAATCCCGTAATATGTTTGGCTCTCAGGATTAAACTTCTTCAGACTAAATGATTACAGCATCCAGTTTGTGTTTTATTTTCTCTACATAAACTTGCAAATCTGTTTGGCTTTTCTTGTTGCTGATTGGTTTTCTTCCGTGAAAACTGCTACAGGTATGAACCTCAACTTAACAATTTATTTAGTTTATTTTTATAATTTTTAGGGTAAATTACAAGTATACCCCTGAGGTATGTTAAAATAACTTTAATGTCCTTGTAGTATCAGTACATTGTTAGAAACTTTAAGGCCTCGTTTGCTTAGTGTTATTAACCTCTATTAACTAAATAGTAGGGGTTAGTAAGATGTTTGATTGATGAGATTCGTATTTAGTCAAACCCGCTACTACACTCAAAGCCCGCAATTAAATGTTATTATTTGGTTAAATTAGTAGCGATTAATTTTGTAGGGGTGATTAAAAGCGAAAAATACAATTTTATCCTTGAAACAATATCTTAATTTTGTTAATTAAAATATTTTTTAGACACTCCCGTTTAATACCAGAATTTAAGAAATTTAGTACAAGATTTAACCTAACGAATCAAACATCTTACTGACTAAATAATTAATTAGTCAGTGGGATATTAATCCAATCTCACCTAATCCAATATAATCCGATATATGTAAGCAAACGAGGCCTAACGGAATAGTGCATTGGATAAATTATTCCGTTATGATTCTAATGGATTATTAGTTTCAGACAGTGGTGGGGACACCATATAATTAGAGGGTGACATAGCTCTCATAACATTTTATATAAGATTTATAATTTTTCGCCTATGGTAGTATTAACGGCTCCGCGCAAAACAAATATAGTGCATATTGGTCCCCGGGACATAAAATATTGACTCTGATAATTGTTTTAGGGGTATGACTTTAATTATCAATACTACAAAGACCTTAAAGTTATTTAAGCATACCTGGAGGATGAGGTGTAATTTACCCTCATTTTTAATGAAAATTCTTGGTTTCAAACTAATTAAAAACCTACAAATTCTCAGTTGTGGGGTATATGATGGTATTCGGAACTGGGCTATTGGGTGGCTTCCTTTTCCAGTTGTTTCTCCAAGACTCTTCATTCCCAAGTAAGTAAAACCTTTTTGTTCATTTTTCTTAGTATATTGGTAAATGTTTACTTAACTAACACAAAATAAGATTCCACGACAGTAGCTAGGGGTGGTAAACGAGCTAAGCCGCTTGTGAGATGGCTCGAAAAAAGCTCGAACTCGAACTTGATTTTTTCGAGCTCGAGCTTTTTTTAGTCGTTCCTGAGCTCACAGCCGGCTCGCGAGCCTTATTTTGTTTAAAACTTATTTTTTATTTATTTTTATATATTATTTTTTATTTTAATAATGTATATATAATTACAGTTTATTGTTGATTTTGAATTTATTTTATTAGAATCTAGTATTTTTTAATAATAAAATTAATAATTAAAAAAAAAAAAAAAACCAAAATGAGTTTGGGCTCGAGCTCGAGCTCGAGCTCGGCTCGCTCACACCCGTAACAGTAGCATAAACAATACTTTCGTTAAAATAATATTGTTCTTTCTAACTACATTACTTCTGTATACAATTTTACCTATCATTTCATCAATGCAGAAGCATGGATAATCGCTATGGAGTTATTTCCAGGATTTTCCCTCTATCGCGGGTTATACGAGTTTTCGCAATACGCCTTCAATGGAAACTATATGGGAAGTGATGGAATGCGATGGAATGATTTAAACAATAGCAATAACGGAATGAGGGAAGTCTTGATCATCATTGCAGTTGAATGGTTAGTCGTTCTTTGTGTTGCATATTATGCAGATCAAGTTGCGTCTTCTGGAAAAAATCCCCTATTTTTCTTGCGGAAAAAGCCAAAGAATCTCCAATCGTCTTTCCGTAAACCTAGCTTGCGAAGGCAGGGTTCTAAAGTTTTTGTTCAGATGGAGAAGATTGATGTTGACCAAGAGGTAACCTATTGTCTATTGTTATATTCATGAAGAGCCTTTTTCAATATCGGAAACTATTTTTCTTCTCGATTTTTCGTTTTAATTCAATAGTTGCATTTGCATCCTCGTTTTTTTTTTTTTTTTTTTTTTGGTGTATTTGATTTAGAGGGAGAAGGTTGAACAGTTACTACTTGAATCGAGTACAAGTCATTCAATCATATGCAATAATCTCAAAAAGATATATCCAAGTAGGGATGGAAATCCCGAGAAATTTGCAGTAAGAGAGCTCTCACTTGCTTTGCCGGAGGGAGAATGCTTTGGCATGCTTGGTCCTAACGGTGCTGGCAAAACTTCATTCATCAACATGGTTAGTTCACAGGCTTGGTTCTTTTATTGGGAATCATTCTTCACATTATCCGCTCTAGTTTGTTTTGATTATCCATATGATTTAATCATATTTTTGTTTCGTCAGATGATTGGGCTCGTAAAGCCAAGCTCTGGAACTGCATACGTTCAAGGACTAGATATACGCACTGATATGGATAGAATATATACCAGCATGGGTGTGTGTCCGCAACACGAGTAAGCATCAATTTAAATTTTATAACTTTAGGAATCCGTTCGTAAAATTTGATACTTTTTTCAAACAATTTGCAGCTTGTTGTGGGATATGTTAACGGGACGAGAGCATCTACTTTTCTATGGAAGGCTTAAAAATCTCAAAGGTGCTGCCCTAACACAAGTAAGTCTATGTTATTTTCCTTGAAACATTGTGCAGCATAGCATATATAGTGAAAAACTTCAAGAAATTGAGAGTTCATGCATAATGCATGTGTATGATTTCCGTCGAGTAAAGACTACGTACGACATATGAATATCTCACATATGCACGATTTGTATAAAATTATAATACAAGGCCTCGTTTCATTTGCTAATATACGATCAGCCAAGATAAGATTATGCAATCTTATATATTATGAGTGACCAATTGTGTATACTTACGTTATGGGGTTTCAATAATGCATATTTGCCTCGTATATAAACCTAAATGAGGGCAAATATTATATTATCATGGCATATCTTGCCTTCTGGGCATGTTTTTTTATTGGATCATCGAAGGTCCAATAATATAATTGAATTTCATTAGATTATTTAATCTTATCTTGGCTAATCTTATGGTGACAACCAAACGAGGCCTAACTGTATTATGTAGTTATCTGTTACGTTTTGATGAATGGCTAGATATGTTAGTCGGGGATGGAGAATCGTTTTTAGCTTTATAACTTGATATATATTGTGAAGCAGGCAGTGGAAGAATCTCTCAAGAGTGTGAACTTATTTCATGGCGGGGTGGCAGACAAACAATCGAGGAAATACAGTGGAGGCATGAAGAGGAGACTTAGTGTCGCCATTTCACTTATCGGAGATCCAAAAGTGCGTACATCCATATCCTTAATATTTAGTTTCAACTCGTGTTTAGTTCGACGTTAAGTTATTGGTATCGTTAAATTAGTTACGTTATTACCTTATTCGAATTAAGGTGGTGTATATGGATGAGCCGAGTACTGGATTGGATCCTGCTTCAAGAAACATGTTGTGGGACGTAGTGAAACGCGCTAAGCAAAACAGAGCTATAATTCTCACCAGTAACGTATTTGTCTTTATTTTGCTTCTTCACATGCGCGCGCGCGCGCACACACACACAATTATCTACAGGTGCACGTGGAAACCTTTATATTTAAAAGCATTTAGCTCGGCATCTTATTTGATAATTCAGCGCATTCGATGGAAGAGGCAGAGCATTTATGTGATCGTCTCGGAATTTTTGTCGATGGAAGGTTGCAATGTGTCGGAAACCCGAATGAGGTAATGTCAAATGTTTTATTTTCAATATACATTTGCTTTGCAACTCAACCAATTTTTTACGCGTATTTACTAATTAAAATGACAGCTCAAGGCTAGATATGGAGGATCGTATGTATTCACGATGACAACATCACAGATTCACGAGGAAGAAGTAGAGAACTTGGTAAACCAACTCTCACCGAACGCAACAAAGGTATACCAAATCTCGGGTACACAAAAGTTCGAGTTGCCAAAAGACGAGATAAGAATAGCAGATGTGTTTGAAGCAGTCGAGAATGCAAAGAGTAGATTCACCGTTCAGGCGTGGGGTTTGGCAGACACGACATTAGAGGATGTATTTATTAGGGTTGCAAGAGGGGCTCAAGCAGACAGTACTCTCTCGTGATAACACGATGGCGAAAGGATGTGATTCGGCCAAACTATTTTGCTTCCGAAATTTCAAACAAAAATTGGCAGTAAACTGATGAATACTGAAAAACTAAGCAAAATCGATAGTAAAACCGATGAATACTAGCAGTAAACTAGTGACAAGTGTTTAAACTGTATATAATACTTATGTTTTACTTATCGACGACGAGATTTCCTGGAAGACGCGACTGCGTATAAATTATAGAGAGACAAAGTTTATGATCGAGAGAGGGCTACATTTTTCGAGAAATCAGTTAGAGTCATGAGCTTAGGATTCACTTCATTTTCAGCTTATATACTAGGGCATTACGGTTATAAAATTTTCATTGAGCGATGGGCTTATATGCAAAAATTGGAAAAAAAATCTCTAAAATGACAAATATTTTGCGACGGAGGGCATATTAATATTTTGATTTTGGGACTTTTGGAATGGTTTAATCCCATTTTGCGCTCTTGAAATGTAATTGAACAAAAATAATAGCACTTTGCACATTCGATAAATCATTTTCTAATGCACCATGAATTATATAATTAAAACTTGGGTAAATAGCCTTTTTTTTAGTGAAGGTAAATATCATTAAACCACCTAAACTTTGCCCAATTTTGCAGATTATCACCTCAAAAAAAAAGAAAAATAAAAAACCAATATATATATATATATATATATATATATATATATAGGGTAAATTACACACACCTCCTTGAGATATGCTTAAATAACTGTAAGGTCCCTGTGGTATCGATAATTACACTTAATTTGAAGCATGTGCGTTACAAGTTTTTGCAGATGAACCCCTTGTGCTCGTAATATCAGCACATAACCCCCTTATTTATGCGGGATAGCTTCCGTTAGTTTTTCCGTCAAACTTAACTGCGTGTGTCAAACTTTTATATGTTTATATAGCATATTTAGAAATGTACCTATATACTTTTAATATTTTCATGTTTCCCCCAAGTTCCCGTATCTCCATTTTTTGGATATGCCGTTTCCCCGTGTCCGTTTACCCATTTTTTCGTATGGCCATTTTTGTATCCGTACTACATAGGTTTTAGAGATATAAATAAGGGTAAATTACGAAACTTCCCCTGAACTAAGCTAAATAACGAAAAACACCTCAACCTATCCGTAATAACCAAAATCCCCCTCTGATTAACTATTGATCGATTTTTTTAACAGAAAATGTGTACAGTCTATTTTACCTTCTTTTAATAGGTGAAAAATAAAAGAAAATATCTGAAATTGTGTAAAGTTTGTTCATGGAATCAAAACAAAATCCGTGAAAAACCACACTGTAAGGAGATTGGTGTAAGTTGGAAACAAACTTTAGGGATTTTTTATAATTACGAATACGTGGGGGTGTTTTTCGTTATAAAGCCTAAATTCAGGGGTTTCTTTCATAATTTATCCATAAAATAAAGAAGAAGTCTGCCTCCCTCTTTTAGTCTTTTACAATAAAAATTAGGAATATTTAGCTAAATAATAATGATAAATTACAGTAATTAAGAGATACTATTTTAATATCTAACCAAATGCATTACCGGTACCACCTACACCTCGTGAATCGTGATGCCATGATATTAGGGTCAACCAATAGATTTCCGTTGACTAACTTCCTTCGATTTATGATGGAGGATTATTATTATAAAATAATAATAAATACAATAAACGTGTGAGGGGGAAGGGCAATATAGTCATTCAACGTCGACGAAATTTCCAACTTCCGTAATTTCGCCTTTTTGGTGCAAGGATTCATATATAAAACGGTGTATATACAACAGAAAATATAAGTTCAACTGCAAGTTGCAACGGTCAAATTCCCAAAGGAAAAAAAAAAACATGGTGGAAGATTCATCAAATGGGAAGTCGAGTTTCTGGACTCAGGCAAATGCTTTGGTGAGGAAGAATCTCATTTTTCAGGCGAGTATGCATTCACTTTCTTTCCACCTCAACTTTTCAATTCTTTTTTTTTTTTTTTTTTTTTTGAACTTTTGTTAATACATAATTCTCGTCGGCTTCGATAACACACATTGCTCATAGAAATTTGGGGAGGTCAGGATTTGTTGTGAGGGGGCTTAAATACATTAGGGGTTCGGCCCGAATTTTTTTTTTGATATATCAAAGAAATTTAAAATGAAAATTTGATATTGAAATTGTTTCCTCCACTTTCATAAGATAATAATAGCATTTAGAATCGCAAAAGTTAAATTACGATGAAAATATAAGAAATATGAATATCAAGTCAATTATTAAATTTACACAATTTACTTCATATTGATATTCAATCTAAACATTAAGATGAGAGAGAAGATGTTGCCGCCGAGAGAACAAAGTTTCTTTTTTCTATTTAAAGGCATGATAATGGAATTGGGAAATAGAAGATGAGGGCAAGTTAGACGTGAGAAACTTTGAATAAGTGAGCTTACATAATATAATTGGTCAGGTAGGCTAAAAATTTATATATATATCGAAAAATTTTGGAAGTGAAGGGGGGCTTGAAGCCACCTTAGCCCTTGGGTGGACTCGCCCCTGTCAGGACCCAATGATTAGGGATGGCAATAGGTAGGGCGAACATAGGGGGTTTTTTTGGGGGCTAGAATATGGGGGTGGGTAAGATAAATTTTTTTTTTTTATGGACTAAAGTGAATAAAATTGGAAGTTTGAGAGGGGGCGAAAGTACATTAACTAATACACAAATAACAAATAAAAAAAATGTTAAAAAAATAAGTTTGGTGGCAGGGGCCGGCACCCCAAGCATACTCATAAGTACGCCACACCCCCGGTAATAGGTACGGGTTTAGCGTGTCTCGATCCCGGAACCGACCCATTTGAGTTGTTCGGGGTGAGCTAAACGGTTCTGGGTAGGTTATGGGTCTTGTTGGGACCGAGTCATAACCGATTCGTATAAATATATCGTGTTTAACAATTCTGAAATGTTAAATGTTGTTTTAATTACTAATGTCGTTTTGACTTCGAACCTGATTTTGACATATTTCTATTTTGATTTTCGCAAAATTGGAAACACGAAAATTGTAATCCTTTGTGTTAGCTTTCTAATCAAACTTAAATCCACTAGCGTATGACAAAATTATGCATTAATGAGTCACATTTTGAATTTTAGATACATTAATACATCAAAGTTGTGGGCAATACCCATTGATTCATGTATATCTTTCTTGTCCGACATTCAATTTTGGTGATTCAAGTTGGATTAGAAAACTAACTCAGAATACTACAAATTCTATTTTTTGGGTTTTGCAAAATTCGGAATTAAATTGATCAAAATCACGTTTGAAGTCGTAACGGTATTATTAAAGCTCGAACGATATTTATCACATCCCTTAACAATTAATATATATTATCTATACATATGAATTAATTTGGAATTGCATTTATCAAAATTTCAATTTTCATCGTGTCTATTCTCATTTATTGCTTTTTTTACAATTTTGTTTTTTCGAATTTCATTACCCTGAGGTCATATCTATCACTTGTTGACTGCCACTACCGATCTTTCCTTTTCCTTTTCAATTTTATTTATTGTATAAGTTTAACATAACTAGTTATATAATTTTATTATTTACTTAATATCACTTGTAGATGTTTTTTAAAATATTGTATTTTAATTTTGAAATTCATTTGTTAAAATATACAAGCAAATTTCTTTTTATGAAAGTTACAAAATATAAGCTTCTTATTTGATGTTAACGGGTCCGATGGATTAGAACAGTTCTATTCTAGTATGGGGCTGGGCAGGTTTGTGAAAGTTTTAAATACTTTTCACAGATCGAATCTCGGGTTTAGACAAAAACCCACCCCATAACCAACCAGTTGCCATGTTGGTAGATTCCTAGGCATATGCAAATGAACATGATATATGTATTATTCATTTGGGCTCCTCTTATAATTAGTCTAACAGTAGAGATCCAACAATTTTATATTCTAAAGAATTTGATGTATAATTGAAATAGATTGAAAATCCAATTTCTCTCTATTTTAATTATCAATTCTTTCAAGACGCACATGAATTTTGTTAAAATTATAGCACAACATGCACCTGCGTGCGGTTACAAAAATATTCTACAACTCGCTTACGATTTTTGTTAATACCATAACATAACATCTCGTGTAATATAAAATACAACGTGCATCACAAATTGCAATGAACATTGTTAAAATCCCTAGGCTTTAACAACATGTGCGTCCAAGGGCGGATTTGGGGGCTTTTTGGTGACGGGTCTAAAATATAGGTGTAATTTAAGAATTTTTTTACACGAAATGCATTAAAAAAGACGAAAGTCGACAAAAACGTGTTGTTTTTACCTTAGAATCATAATTGGTTTCGGCCATTTGATAATTGTTGTATTTTAACTGATATTATCGATTAAAAAATGACGATTTTAAAGTTTTAAAATTTAGAGGTAAAGAGAATTGGGGTTTTTGTCCATAAGTCCCCAACCAAACATGTTTATTATTCTAGGTTTAGGGGCAATATCTCTTTCACCAATAAACCCATCCCTTTAATATTTATTATAAATAAAGGAAACATTCATGTATATGTAAATATTACCCCCAACCCTTTATCCCCAATTCTTAATTGTAACCACAATTTAATCAATTTTGTCCACAAAAAATCAATTTTGACTTTTTTTTTTCAAATTTTTTTTTTGCCGCTGAATTCCGGCGTTGACTTTTCGATTTTTTTTTCCTCTTCTTCCGGATTTTTTCGCCAGTTTCCGGCGTTGACCGCGGTCTCCGGTGTTGACTTTTTTTTTTTTTTTTTTTTTTTTTTTTTTTTATACGTCCGTCGCTAAACGTTGACCGTAATTGTGCTGTCACTGACAGTAAATTAACGTAATTATACTATAATGCCAGTTAATTAACGTTATTGTACTGCCGCTGACAATACATTTATGTAATTGTGCTGCAGTTGACAGTAAATTAATGTAATATTATTATTTTTTATTCTTTGTTGTTTTTTTTTGTTTGATTTGTTGACAAGTCAACGTAATTATATTACTGTCGTTGACAGTAAAATAACTGTAAACACAATAATATTACTGTCAACAACATCAATATTATTATTTTTTTGGATTTTTTGTTTTGTTTGAATTATTCACGGAGTAACGTAATAATATTATTGTCCATTGTTGTAATATTACTGTAAACACAATAATATTACTGTGGTTGACGGTAATATTACTGTTGTTATAGTAATATTGCTGTCAACCACATCAATATTATTATTTTGTTTGTATTTTTGTTTGTTTGAGTTATTCACGGAGTAACGTAATAATACTACTGTCTATTATTGTAATATTACTGTGGTTGACGGTAATATTACTGTTGTTATAGTAATATTACTGTCACTCACAGTAATATTGATTCTTTTGGTTTTTTATTATGTTTACATTTGTTGAACGGTCAACATAGTAATATTACTCTATTACACAATAATAATGAGTTTCGTTGCGTTAATACTACTGTGCTAGAGATTATATAGCAATATTACTGTGTTAAACTGTAGTTTAGTTAATTTTACTGTGTTTAACAGTAATATAGTTAATATTACTGTCAATCACAACAATATTGCTGTTTAAACGAAAAAAAAGTTACAGAAAGAAAGAAAAGAAGAAAAAAAAATTCGAAAAAATCAACGCCGGAGACCGGCGAAAAAATCTGGAAGAATTTTTTTTTGGAAAAGTCAAGTTAACGCCGGAATCCGACGAGAAAAAAATTGTTTTGGTGAAAATTGAATAATTTGTAAAATTTTAGGTTAAATTGAAGTTAAATTAAGTTAAGAATGAAATTGGAGCATATTAAAGTATGAGGGGTTATTTTAGTCATTTACAAAAATCTGGACCATGTATGAAGTTATTGGTAAAATAGTTTTTTGTCTGGATCTCTTTATGACCATCAGCTTATCTATCAACAGAAAACCCCTTCGGCGTAATACTATAACAATGAAAGGGTAGCAAAGTAAATTCCACGTTAAATGGAAAATTCATATACAGCGGTATAAAAAGAAATAGAAGAAAATGAGGTGCTACGTGAAACCAAGTAATCTTCTAAAATGGAACCAAGGGCAAAATCCGTACAAAACATGGCGCCATGGCGGATTCATCAAATTCGCCGTCGATTTTCTGTACTCCGGCCACGCTTCGGTGGGGAAGAATCTGATTTTTCAGGCGAGTAGGTTATTCAGTAGTTCTCTCTGCATCTAACTAATTTCGGATTTTGTTTTTTTTTGCTGGTTTATTTGATGGGTATTGATTAGAATTCAAATTGTTCAAACTCTTCCATTCCTTTTCTAATTAATGTGCATTCAGTATTTACATTTTGATGTATTGTAGTGGGAATGCAGTTGCTTTTTCTGATCGAAGAATTATGTACTTTCTGTTGGGTTTTAGGTTTTGAATTGTGCTGTTTGATGCAAAACACACCAATAATTTGTTGTAGACCCACGAAACTTTTTATTTTTCGTTTGAATTCTTCAAACGGATATTCCTCGTCGTCGTTTGAAGATAATCCAACTGTATGCTATCAATTTTTGAACCAGCAAAAAACCATAGCCCAAAGTGCTCTCTCTCTCTCTCTTGAATTTTGTTTTAACATCGGTTTCATATTCTTTTGATGCAGAAACGCAACATGAAGACGAATATCCGACTTATTCTGTTCCCACTTGTCATATGTTTGTTGCTTGTTCTCATCCAAAAAACGGTGAATAGTCAATTAGATAAGCACTCGTTAAGGTGCGGCTGCATTTGTGTTGATACAGGAAAGGGAAAATGTGAAAAAACGTGTGGGATCGAATACTCAAATTTGGACCAAGTGTTCTTTTGTCCCATTCCTCATCCTACAGAATGGCCTCTGTTATTACAAGTGCCAGCTCAGCAGTTTCGTGCTGTTAGAACTGGAGATACATGCAAGAAAACAGGTTCCTGTCCTGTAACTATGCTTATTACCGGCAATAACCAAACATTTGGTCAATGTATGTCCTATTATTAGTTATGCTATATCGTATTTAATATCTCGTGTTTACGGAGAGCTTAATGCTTATCTAATGCTTCTCGTTTGACTTCATAGCTGTGTCTGGAAACATGTTCTCGAGGCCATTAAATATAAATTCCTCGGATATTCTGCACAGCTTAGCAGATAATGCCTTGGTTAGTGGCAATCTCTCTCTCTTTTTTTTTTTTTTTTTTTTTTTTAGTTTTTAATTTTTGCGAATGATTTAGGTATGTATTTCACAATATTTCAGGGTTCGGGAACAACGTCTCGGTATACTAATTTTCTTGATGCTGCTTTTCTTTCAAATGCTCCCATTGATCTTCTTCAACCTCAATGCTCACCAGATTCTCAATTTTCTGTTGTTATTCAGTTAGGTTCTGCTACATTGCAAAAAGGTAGTTAGTTCTTTCGAAGTTATTCTTCTTTCCAAAATGTCGTTATATTTGGCAGTGTAGTTACTTTTTACGACCTTCAGTTTGAGATTTCAAAATCAAATTTGCGTAATGGAGGTGCAAGAAATAAGTGCCTTAAACTTATCTTGGATCTTATTATAAAATGCAGATGTACGTTGCACTCAAGGCTTACAATTGTGGCGCAATAGTTCTTCCGAGATCAATGATGAGATATACAAGGGTTACCGTAATGGGAATTCGGAAAGAAAGATTAATGAGATTTTAGCAGGTTTTGGTTTACGAGAAAAAATAAAGTTACTAGTTTTATGTGAATGAACTAATTAATTGTTTCCTTTATTTTTGCAGCTTACGATTTTGCAAATTCAAATGATAATCTATTCAATGTTACGGTATGGTATAATTCTACGTACAAGAACAACACGGGGGATCAACCTCCTGCCTTGACACGTGTGCCTCGTTCAATAAATTTGGTACTTAAATCCCGACCTTCTCCTGTCGCACTCATATTTCTCACTCTATGGTTCAACACAAATGAAAAATGTTACGAGTATCGATTCCTAAAAGCTAATATTTCTCATATTTCTAAATAATATTTCCTAAAAAGATTCAATCGATTCCTAAAAACTAATAAATTTGTCAGTTTTCTTTCCTGAAAGGATGCAGCATTTCCGAAAAAGGTTGAACCGATTATAGCTCAAATGACCTCATTTGACTTATTACAGGAGAGATAACAAGATTTACTTTGCTACGTGTGAATTGTTGATCTTATTAATGTTAACTCAATTCCTAAAGGAAAGAATACAATATTTAAATGAAAAAGATCTGTCAACTTTGTACGCGGCATAAAATCTGCTAGACTGAAATGGCCAACTGATTGCATTCACAGTTAACTAATGTATTACCGGACTTATTTAGCTATCTAACCTAAGGTAAAAAGTCTGACTGAAAAAAATATGTATTTATGGTGTGCGTAAAGAATGACACGGGCAATCAACCTCCTGCCTTGACACGTGTGCCTCGTTCAATAAATTTGGTACCTAAGTCCATAAACACGGGGATCTTCACTTATTCACATGATCAGCCTATAATAGTTATTAATAATTGACTACTCTTAATAAGCTTTTTACATAATTTAGTGTATGCATGTACAGGCTTCAAATGCCTATCTCCAATTTCTGCTTGGACCAACTGCGAAAATGCTGTTCGAGTTTGTGAAAGAAATGCCAAAGCCCGAAACGCAACTTAGGCTGGATTTCTCTTCTCTACTTGGGCCACTCTTCTTTACATGGGTTATTGTGCAGCTGTTTCCTGTAAGTTCAATTAATATTTTCCTTTTGTGACGAGATATTGATAGAGTGTCGTTAGTGGTAGTGTCGTTTTTCCTCGATATTTTTGTAGGCCTTCCAATAACAGTCCTTATTCTCTCCTTGCAGGTTGTTCTAATATCTTTGGTTTACGAGAAAGAGCACAAACTAAGAATTATGATGAAAATGCACGGGCTCGGAGATGGACCATATTGGATGATATCTTACGCTTATTTTCTAGCAATATCTTCCATCTACATGCTATGTTTTGTGATATTTGGCTCAGCCATCGGTAAAAATATTATTATACAACTGTCGCAACTATATATTAGTTAATCCTTAATCACTGATATATTTTTTTCTTTCAGGGTTAAACTTCTTCAGACTAAATGATTATAGCATCCATTTTGTGTTTTACTTCCTCTACATAAATTTGCAAATCTGTTTGGCTTTTCTTGTTGCTGATTGGTTTTCGTCGGTGAAGACTGCTACAGGTGTGTCCTCAGCGTAACACTTTTATCTAGTTAATTTGCATCTTTCTTTTATAATTTTGTATTGACATTTCGTTTAAAACCGTAAAATTCTCAGTCGTGGGGTACATGATGGTATTTGGAACTGGGCTCTTGGGTGGCTTCCTTTTCCAGTTCTTTCTCCAAGATTCTTCGTTTCCAAGTAAGTAAAACCATATAATTAGCTAACACTAAATCAGATTCCATGGCAGTAGCATGCATTAATTGCTAACCTTTTTTCTGTGTAATTTTATTACATCAATGCAGAAGCAGGTATAATTGCTATGGAGTTATTTCCAGGGTTTTCCCTTTATCGTGGGTTATACGAGTTCTCACAGTACGCCTTTACTGGAAATTTTATGGGAAGTGATGGAATGCGATGGAAAGATTTAAACGATAGCAATAACGGAATGAGAGAGGTCTTAATCATCATTGCAGTCGAATGGTTGGTTGTTCTTTGTGTTGCATATTATGCAGATCAAGTAGTGTCGTCTGGAAAAAATCCCCTATTTTTCTTGCGGAAGAAGCAAACGACTCTTCAATTGTCTTTCCGTAAACCTAGCTTGCGAAGGAAGGGTTCTAAAGTTTTTGTTCAGATGGAGAAGCTTGATGTTGACCAAGAGGTAACCTATTGTCTATTGTTATATTCAAGAGCTTTTTTTGAATATCGGAAATTATTTTTCTTCTCGATTTATCGTTTTAATTCAATAGTTGCATCATACTTTTATTTTTTTGTATTTAATGTAGAGGGAGAAGGTCGAGCAGTTACTACTGGAATCAAGTACAAGTCATTCAATTATATGCAATAATCTCAAAAAGATATATCAAAGTAGGGATGGAAATCCCGAGAAATTTGCAGTAAGAGAGCTCTCACTTGCTTTGCCGGAAGGAGAATGCTTTGGCATGCTTGGTCCTAATGGTGCTGGCAAAACTTCATTCATCAACATGGTTAGTATACGAGCTCTAGTTTGTTTTGATTAAATTCACCCATTGGAAATTATGTGTATCAAAATTTTTGTTAATTTTGTCAGATGATTGGGCTCATAAAGCCGAGCTCTGGAACTGCATATGTTCGAGGATTAGATATACGCACTGATATGGATAAAATATATACCAGCATGGGTGTTTGTCCCCAACATGAGTAAGCATCGATTTGAGCCATATGTATATAATTTGATGTTTTAATTTCATGATTTAGGATCCTTTGTAAAACAATTTGCAGCTTGTTGTGGGAAACTTTAACAGGACGAGAGCACCTATTTTTCTATGGAAGGCTTAAAAATCTCAAAGGTGCTGCCCTAACACAAGTAAGTCTATGTTAGATTGTATACAAAGTCTCATTCGGTTGCTAAGATCATATTATGCAGTCTTATGATTCGAAATTTTTCGGGTCTGCCTGAACCTTTGGACTGGTCCGAAAAGTTATTGGACTAACGAAACATCAAACAAAGCTCCCATTTAAATTACCATGGTTTATTTTGCCAACCTAACGAGGCCTAATACAACTGTATTATGTAGTTAACTGCCAGTTTAATGGTCATACAATTTGGCATGTAATTTGATGCAGGTTTTCTAGCTTCATAAATTCATCTATATATATATATATATATATATATATATATATATATATATATATATATATATATATATATATATATATATATATATATATATATATATATCTATGTATATATATTAGCGTATATATTACGTATATATTATTATAATATTACGCTAATAATATATTGATGCAGGCAGTGGACGAATCTCTTAAGAGTGTGAACTTATTTCACGGTGGGGTGGCAGACAAAAAAGCAGGGAAATATAGTGGAGGCATGAAGAGGAGACTCAGTGTCGCCATTTCACTTATCGGAGATCCAAAAGTACGTACATCCATATCCTTATCTTACTTCCAATTCGTGTTCATTTTGATATTGCATTATTTGTTTTGTTAAGGTTGTTACCTTATTCTGCTCATAAAAATGGTTATTCGAAAGGTGGTGTATATGGATGAGCCGAGTACTGGATTGGATCCTGCTTCAAGAAACATGTTGTGGAACGTAGTCAAACGTGCTAAACAAAATAGAGCTATAATTCTCACCAGTAAGGCTTTCATTTTCTTTCGATTTTCCACACCCATGCGCATACGCTAAATTATGTAAGCGTGCATGAATGGAAAATTTTCGATTTACTATATTAGTAATTTTAGCATCTTATTTGATAATTCAGCGCATTCAATGGAAGAGGCAGAACATTTATGTGACCGTCTCGGAATTTTTGTGGATGGAAGCTTGCAATGTGTCGGAAACCCTAAAGAGGTAATGTTAAAATCTTGGTCGTCAATGCACGTTTTTGTATTTCACGAGTTATCGTATTTACGTTGTATATATCGAAACCCGTATTTTTACTATCTTTCAGTTTTTGTTGCCTTGTCAAATAACTTATTTATTTACGATTCTATACTCTGCACCTCACCTTGTTGCCTTTTAACGAACTATTTTGTATTGCCTCTCAACCGTTCAATCCAAAATGACAGCTCAAGGCTAGATACGGAGGATCGTATGTATTCACGATGACAACATCTCCGGCTCACGAGGAAGAGGTAGCAAATTTGGTACATCAACTCTCCCGAAATGCCACAAAGGTATATCAAATCTCAGGTACACAAAAATTCGAGTTGCCAAAAAACGAGATAAGAATAGCAGATGTGTTTGAAGCAGTCGAGAACGCAAAGAGTAGATTCACTGTTCAGGCATGGGGCCTAGCAGACACGGCATTAGAGGATGTCTTTATTAAGGTTGCAAGAGGGGCTCAAGCAGTCAGCACTCTCTCGTGATAACACGATGAAGCCAATGTATGATTAGTTAAACTCATGCTTGATAGTTATGGAATATTCAAATCGATTGTGTAATTATGCACTGATATTCCATTCAATGTGTTTCAAGTAGGTCTGGTTTGTATCGAGAGTTTATAATGTGAAATTAATTTATAATCCAATCTGCCTCGTGTCTTTTTGTCTATTTGTTTGTTTTTCCGTTCGCTGACATTTGACTTACAATCAAGAATCACTGTAATCCTCCGCTTCGGAAAGCATTCGAAAATAAACAATGTGTTAAACATGCTTCGTTAAAGTTTTCGTATTCAACAGAAATACTAGAAAGGTGATGAATTTGTTTTTAACTACAGATGACAGTATTTTGGTACCTGAAACACGGCTAGGGCAACGAATCGCTCGAGAGCTGGTGCCATTACTCTCAATTTGCTCCGAATTTCTTTCCTTACTTCTTGGTGATATATATATAAGGATTTTCTAGGGAGAGAGTTGGGAAAGATTTATATGTTGTATCTTGTGCCAGTCCTCCCCGGTTTCTCTCTCGCATCTCCTTTCCAAATCGGGGCATTTTCCCACATTCAGATATTGGAGATTCGTCATTCCTCGGATACTATCTGGAAGTGATGCAGCTTTGGGCACTCAAAAACAGACAGAGTTACAAGAGATGTCAAATCTCCAAACCGCTCCGGCAGCGAACTCAGCTGAGGAAGTCTGTATAGATCTAGAATTCGGAGTGAGGATGAAAGGCGTCGCAAGGCTTTGGGTACACACTCCATCTTTGGAAGATCAAATAGGACTACTGCTTTCAGACAACCGAGGTATTTAATCCCCTCTAGCAGCTCTACAACTTCTCGGCATCCAAATATCCTTAGTTCATCCAGAGGCAACTCCCATATTTCACTTTCTCTTACGTAAATCCAATCCTTTTCCGTCCGCTTAAACCGCAACAGACCTCCAAGCGCTTTAGCAGCTGGAGGAACGTAACACCATAGCACTTCCACGTTGCTTGTTTTCGAGCACAGACTGGATGGTGGTGAGTGTGCTCGAGAGCTTCTTCATCTCTTCGTCGACTCCAATAATCAATCCAATCTCCCCTATCATCAATGTGCTCAGATGATCAACAAGTGTTTGAAGAAATAATGAACTAATTGAAATATAGACCACCTCTGATTTTGCTGCTGCTTTTTTTCCTCCTTGTTAATTTTTGTTTGAACTATGGGATGATGAGTAATTTTTCTTCTCAAAATTGTTCAGGAAAGTTGAGTGTGCAGGCTTTGATTTCTTATCTTCCACATATAATTTGTTTGTGTCGGCAGCAGGAATATTTGACATAATTAGCTGAGGGTCATTGTCTTCTCCGTTTGTATTTAGGATTTTGGAAACGTAGTTAAGGAAAATGCTAATATTCCTTAACTGCTATTTTTATAATTCTAAATCTACCCTTAATTGTACGATATACTTTTTCAAATCCTAAATCGACTGGACCCTTAATCGACTACGTGTTTTCGTAGTCAATTAAGTTAATATACTATGCTCTGATAGTCAATTAAAGTGTTAATCGACTGTTTGGTAGTCGATTAAGGTTACTCGATTTCATTTTCTTATTCGTTTTTGAATTTTTGCGTATTGATTCCGATTTATATAAATCGATTACAATTTATGTATATTATTTGTTTTGTAAAAAAAATGTTGATTTTCGTTTTTATGTAGTTGTATTTTTTTATTTTTAGTAGTAAGTTCCTTAATCGACTATGCTTCATCATTGCCGATTAATATGTTTCATAGTCGATTTATATACCCGATAGAGAAAAAAAAGTTAAAAAACGAAAAAAATAATAATTTTTTTTTAAGAAAATTGAAAAATAATAAAATAAAATAAAAAAAGGCTGATAGGAGGTTATAGTGTCGTGATAGTGCTGATGAGGTGCCAGAGGCATAATTGAAAAAAATGGATGGCTGAAATTAGGATCACCTTGTCAACTATGTATTGTTTTACGAAAACCCCGTTCCAGTTGGTAAATTTAGAGGCATTCATTTGGTAAAAGCTTACCCAAATTTTCATACTGTTTATCGTCCAGTACGATAACCGGCATGTACCGAATTTTCAATTCCCTCAAACCGCAGTTATATCATTTCGGAAAAACATCGCCCCCTAAAAAAATGTTCGATTCCGTGTTACCTATGCCACAATGGTCAATATAGGAAATTTGGTGGAAATAGGAAACTTCATCCCGATTTCCACCCTTAGAAATTAGCTAAATGAAATTTCTTGGATAGAGCCCTCTATCTAGCATAGTCTGCATAGAGCCATAGACTACCTCATTATGTAGAAAATATATGTAGAAAATTAACATATCCTTCTTAATCTCTCCATCAAGGCCACAAAGGAACAACAAAAATTAGAATTAAAAAAAAAAAAAAAACAATAACAAGGGCTATTTGTGAGTAAAGCAATATATATATATATATATATATATATATATATATATATATATATATATATATATATATATATATATATATATAT